AATAATGTGTACTGCATTAAAACAGATGAGGAAGAGACTGTTTAAAAGGGATACGTGATTAGTTATTATTATCATGATCAGAGTCCAGAGTGAAAGCTGCACAGTGGAGTGGACCTGGAGGGGGGAGGGATTGTATAGCAATGAAAGAATTTTTTTTTTACTTTTCCAAGGGAAGAGCAAATTAAGGGGAAGGGGGGTAGGCAGGGAGAAAAGTGCAACAATGAGTGAATGGAAATCCTGTCTCTGTAAACTTTCATTAAAAATAATAATAATAAAAAATTTTAAAAAGGGTCCCTTACTATGACGATGTCCCTAGCACAAATCTTACTCCCGTGACTCAACTTCCAACCAAATAATAAATATGCCTATAAAGTGGAAAATAACACCAGGGGGGCAGTCACTCCTTAGTGAATGTCTCCCTCCTTAGAATAACCAGTCACTGAAGATCAAAGGGGAAGCAATTGATCAGGATAAAATCTCAGAAGGCGGAAAGAGGTAGGGTAAGAAGGTGAGTAGAAATGAGAACCACAGAGAGCAAGTGGGAAGAGTCAGTTATACCATAAGTACAATCATAAGCGCCATTAAATAGAAAGGTGATGAATGGCTGAATGAAAAACCAAATGCTACTCTGTAAACTATCAAACAGATGAAGGAAAGAACTGTTTAAAAGGAATTGATGATAAGGCATTAGATATAATCAACAGGCCAGAATAAGAGGTACACTGCAGAGGGCTGGGGGGAAGGGGGAGAATTATGTTACAATGAATAAATATTGGGGGAAAAAAACCAAAATATGAACTGGGGGAGGGGGGCAGGCAGGAGAGGACATAAAAATGTGTAACAATGAATAAATAAAAATCTAACTTTTCTGTAAACATTCATTAAGAGCACAATTAAAATAAAAATGTTTATTTTTAAAAAATGACAATTTTTAAGAAGGGGTCAAGAGAGAATAAAAATGTGGCCTTCAAAATCTTGGCTATCTAATATTTTTGAGGACCAACAGCACAGGCAAGAGCACCTGTTCGAACACCTGTCCAGAAGAGTGAGAGTTATCAATACAGCATCAGCATTTTAACACCTTCCTGGCAATTCTAACCAAGTGTCGGAAATACTGGTCAAATTGTGTGGAAAGTGACTGTGCCATTTGTTTCTATATTTTATTACCAATTACCAGAAATTGAGGGGGATGGACCTGGAGCCTGTATTTTATGTGCATCTCAGTGCTGACTCTTGTCTGGACTGTCCAGTCTGTTAAGTACTTGTGATCTGAGCTGAGTTCTATCACAAAACGGTTAAAACGTGCCACCAGGCTCATTAACATCTCAAAAATGACCTTCCTGTGTCTCAGCGTTACTGAAACACTGCCTAAAACAAGGTGGTTTTGCAGCTCTTTGCTTTATTGTGCTTTGCAGATGCTGTGAATTTTACAAACTGAAGGTCATGGCAACCCTTTGCTGAGCAAATCTACAGAGTTTCCAATATGTGCTCATTCCTGGTCTCTCCGTTGCATTTTGGGAATTCTCACAATACTTTAAACTTATCCGCGATGACTCCGGCTATTTTATATACTACAGCAGAGTGTAAATATAGCTTTTATATGCACTAGGAAAACACATACATAAAGCCACATGGTTTGCTTTATTTCAATGTTCACCTTATTGTGGTGGTCCGGAACTCAACCCCCAATCTCTTCCAGGTCTGCCTAGATATGGGCTTGCTTGAATTTTCTAGAAAGATGTTGGCTTATATGATATGCACTTTCTCTCTCCTCTCTCTCTCTGTCTCTCTGTCTCTCTCTCTCTCTCACACACACACACACACACTCACCTTGTTTCCCTGGGGCCCCATCATCTCCAGGTGGTCCTGGTTCTCCAGTTTTCCCCTTTTTGGAAATTACAGCGATTTCTCCTTTATCTCCTGGGGGTCCTCTTTCTCCTTTAGACATCAAATAGTCACAAGAAAATCAGACAGAAGCACTCAAGATTCTTCTGTGACAAGCCAATTCTACTTCCAGTTTAGAAACCCCCATTTTACTTAAGTTTTACTTTTATTTATGTTTAGAAGTTATTGTCTTTAAGTGTATTTATGTCTGTGAGTTTCACAACATCAGAATCCTTGACTGGTTCCCTAAGAAAAGACTGTACCTTTCGTATTCCTCTCTGCTAAAGTGATGGGTTCAAACTCACCCAACTGCACTACAGAAGAAAGGCCGGGGAATCTGTTGCCATAAAGATAGAGATCAGAAAACCCAAAGAAGACATTTTCCTCTGTTAACACCCAGGGGCTGGCTAGTACAATGATTGCTGTTGTTGTTGTGGTTGTTGTTGTATACCAATGAGTCAGAACCGACCCACAGCTGACCCTCCAGCAGGTTTTCAGAGGCAGCTAATCACACAGGGAGAGACTGCCCATCCTTTTCCCCTGGAGCAGCCAATAGATTTGAACCATGTGACTTCAGGATCGCAGCACAGTTCCTTACAAGGCTACCTGATCTCCCAGCATACGTAATAATAGAGAAAACATAACAATACATGCCTTACCTACATTAGTTAAGAGTGACTCTCTGATTTCTTGGTTCTACATAAATAATTTATTGGCTAGTAAAATTAAAAAAAAGAATCAATTGACTAAGAAGAAAAAGTAATATGAATTAATTATTAGATTATTTTTTCTTAGAACTTCAAGGGCTAAAATTCTATTTCTAAAAATCATCAAGGGTTCATTCTCAGGCCTGGAAATAAAATGTTTTCTTCACTTAGCCTTGAGGCTAAGAGGTAAAAAAAGAGCCATTTAATAGCAATGGGCCCAGGAGATTTGCATCAGTGATACTTTTCTATCTTGGATACAATGAAAGTCTTTCTTTATAGGAAGCGGACTCATTCAAGTTCACTGCAGTCAGAGGGCCAAATCAGGTCCCACCCACTCAAAACTCAGAGATATAGAGTGGACTCCTAGTGAGGCTGACCCTCCACTGGGTCCCCCCCTCCCCAGGCTGTAAATCCTTGCAGGGCGAGATGCCCCAGGAGCAGCTGGCCAATTGGAATCCCCAAAATGTCAGTCAGCAGTGCAACATGTAACCAATCACACCACCAGGACTCCTTGACATGGACTACTGGGCTTACAAAACCTACATCATTTTCCAGATCTTTTCAGGGGGAAACCCCCAAAATGGAACAGCCAGGTTTTGGGGGCCAGTGGTTAGGAATTGTGCTGTCATCAATCCAAAGGCAAACCTAGCAGCTGCTCCCAGGGAACAATGGACCATTTCCTCCCGAAAGATTTACGTTACAGTCCCTGAGAACCTGCTGCAGAATCAGCTGTGAGTCAATTCTGACTCAATGGCACAGAACAACTTGTTCTCATTAAAACAGCAGTTGGGGGCTAGGAGCCCTGCCGGCACCCTATTCTCAAAAGAAGGGAAGGTTATTTAAAGCTTGGTAGCTATCAGTCAAAGCATTTAGTCCTTGTTAATATTTTTCCATTAAAAGAATACTCCCTGAACCATAATTAAATGTAGTAAGATTGCTAGGTAAGGAAAGCAGAGAGATGCTGCCGAGGCTTCTAAAACAAACGCTACAGAATCGGAAAGAGGATGGTCCCAAGCCACAGGACTGGTCCATTTTATCTTCAATTCTCCCCATCTCCCTCTTTCTCAGTGCCAGCAAGTTGATTCTCATTCACTTGACACTGCCGCCCTCACCCCCTAGGTGGCCATCCAAGGCTGTAGATCATAATGAGAGGGCACCGTCCATCTTCCTTGGAGTGGCTGGTGAATCTGAACGGGTTAGCAGCACAACCCCCTAGAAGCCAGGCCACCAGTCTAAGCGCTGACCCTCCCGTGGGTTTCCAGAGGTTATAAATTGCACCAGAGGAGACTGCCCATCTTTCTCTTGCAGAGCAGAGGGTGGATTTGAACCATGCACCTTTGAATTCACAGTGCAACTCTTCACCACTAGGTCACCTTGAGAATTTGTAGATTTGGAGAAAAGTTCCAAACCAAACAAACTGCACGCACTGCACTGTGAGTCAGTGTGTTTACCTTGAGCACCTCTCGGCCCCGGGTCTCCCAGAAGCCCCGGCCTGCCTTGATATCCAGGGTCTCCTTTTCGGCCCGGCTGTCCATCTGCACCAGCTAGTCCTCTCTCCCCCGGAAAACCTGGGACGCCAGGCAGACCTCGAGGTCCTGAAAAATGACAACAGGGATTTTTAGGCAAACATCTGAGTCCACTAAGAGGGACCTAGCTCTGGATGTGTTCTCAAGGTCAACAGCATTATTAAGCTGACTGTGTAACAGCCAGCTCTCCCTTCTCAGTTTTCCATTCACAAATCTGAGGCTCAGACCCTCAAGTTTCAGAGTCCCGCTCCAAGTATACACTACAGAAACTAGGAACTGGAGGGTAGAGGCCCAATCAAACCAGAAGTCGACTACCCCGACTCAAGGACTTGGTTCTGGCTACTCAGTCCTTTGAGAGCACTCTGGTGGCCTAGTGGTAAAAAGCTGCGCTGCAAACCCAAAGGCACACGGTTCAAATCCACCAGCTCCTCCATGGGAGCAGGATTAATAATCTCTTCCCATGTGATTTACTGCCTCCGAAAACCCACTGGAGGGTCAGCTAGGAGTCAGTTCTGACTGTTTAAAAGGAACACATGATTGGGTATTGTCATTACAGAAGTCCAGAGTGAAGGTTGCATAGTGGAGTGGACGTGGCGGAGAGGGATTGCATAACAATGAAAGAGTTTTTCTTTCTTTTCAAGGAGAAGAGTAAATGGGGGGAGTGGGTGGGCAAGGAGAAAAGTGCAACAATGAATGAATGGAAACTCTCAGTCTCTGCAAACTTTCATTAAAATGAATTTTAAAAATCTACATAATATTAAAAAAAATGTCGCCCCAAGACAGTAACAACAGAAACTCAGTCCTCTGAGC